TTCTCTCCTCAACACCCCCTTTAGGAGAGAGGAGAGCTACAGAGTCAAGCTTTTAACAAGAGCAGAAGCAACCAGAGCCAGTACAATGTGCTCCTGATGCAAGTGTGCTCTTAATTTTTTTCTCCAACTTTGGGTATATATTCATAGGCTCTGAGAAGGAGTGCAGGGTTGGGGGCAGACAGACCTGTCTCCTAAAGGAGGAAGGAAAAGCATCCTCCAATCACACCCACACCCTGCTGTCCTGTTTCTTTCCACGACCACAGTCAATGTGAAGCTTCCCTTCCAGTAAAAGGCACAGGGCTGTTTTTCCAGTTGTCTGCAGTGAGGTCTCCCACACTTCCGCGGCTCTGTTCCTCCTTCCTGTCAGGGACAGGTTCCGGGGTCAGGCTCCAGCCCAACGTGCCAACTCAGAAGTCGGGAGCCCCGGGGTCCTCCAGACGGGGGTGTGATGTGGGGCTGTCACTTCCCCACTGGTATGTGGGGGACCAGAGGAAGCCCTCACACACTGTAGCTCATTCCAAGGCTGCCCTACAGTGGGATTCAATAGTACTTTCATAGGACTTTGGGGTGGCTTGGAGCCAGTGCAGAGAGGAGGCAGGGCTAGGCAAGCGCCATCATCACTACCCCTAGCTGGGCTAGGGGTGCTGTCTTGGCAGCACCTCCAGTGCATGTCCTCCCAGCCACTTAGCAGTTTTCCCACTTTACAAGTAATGAAGCGAAGGCTAAGAGAGAGAAACTTGTCTAAGGTTACTCAGCATCTTGGTTTATGTTCTGCCTTGAAGTCGATCTCATGACAAGGATTTAACTGAAAATAGCTAATGTTAGATGCCCAGGAAATACTGGAAGGGCCACAGCAAGTTACACGCGGAGAGGAAAGTTGCTGCTAGACAGTGCTGACAGGGTACACCAGTGTCACTATGAAGGGGAACTCTACCAAAGAGCATCAGATATATGGAGGGTGAAGAAGCAGAATATATTTTTATTTTTTTTTATTTTTTTAACTTTTATTTAGTGAATATAAATTTCCAAAGTACAACTTATGGATTACAATGGCTTCCCCCCATAACGTCCCTCCCACCCGCAACCCTCCCCTCTCCCACTCCCTCTCTCCTTCCATTCACATCAAAATTCATTTTCGATTCTCTTTATATACAGAAGATCAGTTTAGCATACATTAAGTAAAGATTTCAACACTTTGCTCCCACACAGAAACATAAAGTGAAAAATAATAGATAATAGATGATTTTTTAAATGATGATGAAATCAGATCAGACCTATTGTCATGTTTAATCCCAGTGAGAGTCAAGTTGGGAATTGATAATTTCTTCTTCTTTTTTTTTTTTTTTTTTACAGAAGATCAGTTTAGTATACATTAAGTAAAGCTTTCAACAGTTTGCACCCCCATAGAAACACAAAGTGAAATATACTGTTTGAGTACTTGTTATAGCATTAAGTCTCAATGTACAGCACGCTAAGGACAGAGATCCTACATGAGGAGTAAGTGCACAGTGACTCCTGTTGTTGACTTTACAAATTGACACTCTTGTTTATGGCCTCAGTAATCTCCCCATGCTCCAGTCATGAGTTTCCAAGGCTATGGAAGCCCCTTGAGTTCTCTGACTCTTATCTTGTTTCGACAAGGTCATAGTCAAAGTGGAGGTTCTCTCCTCCCTTCAGAGAAAGGTACCTCCTTCTTTGAAGACCTGTTCTTTCCACTGGGATCTCACTCACAGAGATCTTTCATTTAGGTTTTAAGCAGAATATATTTTTACAACAACTTCTGTCAACCACTAGCTAAGGGTAGGTACAGTGGAAAGGGTGTGTTAACTCCTCAGCCTGGACAAAAGCCTGGAGACAGAGAGAACCTTACACCAGTACCTGGAAGCCAAGCAGGCTGCACTTCAGTGGTGAAATTCAAAGCATGGAAGGTGGGAGTGAGCACTTTATTCTACATACGTTGAGGGGAAAGCCAGGGCTACCACACCGTTAGGTACCTCGAGCCACACAACAACCCAAAACAAAACTCTGTGCTCTAAGCACTAAGCACTATATTTTTTCAAGAGTGTAGCATCTGCAATTTAGACTGAGTTCAGCTGGGCCATTCTTCTGCTAGTCTCACAGTCACTCATGCGACTGTGCTCATGTGGTGGCTTCAATGGGAGCTGTCTCTTCTGGGGAGACCTCAGATGGGACAGCTCCACTCCATTTCATGTGGTCTCATCCTCAGCAGGTAGACCAGGAATGGTTAGCAAACCTTGCCTAGAAAGGGCCAGATGGTCCTTTTGACTTTGCAGGGCATTCAATCTCTGATGCAGCTCCTCAAGCCTGTTGTTGTAGTGTGTATGCAAACACAACCACATCAACAAATGGACATGGTTGTGTGCCAACAAAATGTTATTTATAAAAGAAGATGGTAGACTTTATTTGGTCCTGAGTCCATGTATTCTGTCAGTCCCTGAGCTAGAACAAACAGCCTCCTTGAAGGGAGCATATTCAGAGAGTCAATGCAGAAACTATAGGGCCTCTTGATGCACAGGTTCTGAAAAATGTTTTGCTTCCCTGGTTTCTGCTCTTCTGCTGCCCAGGCTTCGTGCCACCAAAAAATATCCCCATTCTTCCATTTTTAAAATGCCCCCCATTGTGTGGTAGCCACCCTTAGTGAGAACCTCAATTCTAGGTGCACCCCCTACATGAGCCTTCTATGGCTGCTGTAACAGATACCAAAGGCTGTGAGACTGACACAGCAGACATCCGCTTGCCCACAATTCTAGAGTCTGAATGGCCATGATCAAGGTGGTGGCAGGGTTAGTGACTCCTGAGGCAGCGCCTTGGCTTGCGGGCACCAGCCTTCTCTCCACAGATAAGAGTTCCTGGTGTCTTTTCTTCAGCTCATAAGGATACCAGTCCCACTGGACGAGGGCCCATCCTAGCACCTCATTTAACCTTATTTACTTCCTGAGAGGCCCTGGCTCCACACACAGCCACACTGGGGAGTAGGGATTCAACAGAGGGATTTCAGGGAGCCAGAACTGACTTTGTAACACCAGCTGACCCTGGCTGCCTAGCCAGGTCTTCTCATTCTACCCTTTCTTCATGACCCATGGGAGGTATACACCTGAAGGCAGCTGTCTTGGCCAATGTTCATGATAACGTTCAAAGCACACTGTTTTTCATGTCACCTTACGTCCACCAGAGCACGTTCACAAAAATAGCCAACTAGGTCGCGACATAAATGCCTGCAACTTTTTTCATGCAATTTAAAAAGCACATTTTAAATATATAGAAAAATAAGGCTAGCTAGTTAGCAAATACTCATATATCTAATACCCCAATTTAGCAAATTCTGCCATATTTGATACAAGTTACAGATACTCCTCAACACAGATGAGGTTATACCCAAATAAATTGAAAATACTTTTAATACATTTAATTTACTAAGCATCATACAGGGTACTTTAGAAAGTTCATAGGAAAATGAAATAAAAATAAAATGAAATAATAAATAAAAATGCATTTTTCACGAAATTTTCAGAGCCCCCTTAGCTCAGCCACACTGTACTCCATAGGGTTGGCTGTTTGCATTCATGATTGTGTGGTTGACTGGGAGTCACTGTGCAGCACAGCAAGAGAGGATTCTACCATCAATCACCGGTTTGGGAAAAACATCAAAACTCAAAGTCTGAAATAGGCTTTGGGGGCTGGCACTGTACCTTAGTGGGTAAAGCAGCTGCCTGCAGTGCCGGGATCCCATATGGGTGCCAGTTCGAGTCCTGGCTGCTCCACTTCTGACCCAGCTCTCCACTATGGCCTGGAAAAGTAGTAGAAGATGGACCAAGTCCTTGGGCTCCTACACCCTAACGGGAGACCTGGAAGAAGCTCCTGGCTCCTGGCTTTGGATCAGCACAGCTCCAGCCACTGCAGCCATTTGGGGAGTGAACCAGCGGATGGAAGACCCCCCCGCTTTGCCTCTGCCTCTCTGTAACCCTGCCTTTCAAATAAATAACTACATCATTTTTTTAAAAAAAAATAGATATAGGCTTTCTACTGTATGCATGGTGCTTTTGACCCATCATAAAGTAAAAACAGAAACAAAAAAATATTAAGCTGATCCAGTGTACGTTGGGGCCTAGCTGTACTTTTACAAAATAAAGCATTCTAGTTTAGTTGAAGCTCCACCAATACCACTTCCCAGATTTCATTCCTTCCTCTCTCCCTGAAATTGATGTGTTTCCTTCATGTCATTGTTCGTACACTTTCAGGATGTATGCCCACATCCGTAGAACACAAGGGGCTTGCAACAGTGCATGGAAAGTTCACATCTTTTAATTCCATTTTCCCACTTGTTGAAGCCCTCTCCATAAGGAATTGTTTTAAAATATATTTAAGTGAGAAATATACTGTAACTGAGAATGTGTCATTCAGCCATTTCTCTTTTTCATTTTTATTATAGTTTCAAGATTTATACATGTTGATACATGTAGATATATATGTTGATATAGGTAGATCTAATATATTCCTCTTAATTATTTTTAATGATTTATTTTATTTATGAAAAGCAGAGTGACAGAGAGAGAGAGAGAGGCAGAGAGAAAGACGTCTTCTCTCTATTGCTTCATTTTTCAAATAGCTATAATGGTTGGGATGGGCTGGGCTGAAGCCAAGAGACTGGAACTCCATGTGGGTCTCATACTTGGACAGTCATTTGTTGTTTTCTCAGGCAAATTAGCAGGGAGCTGGTTGGAAGCAGAGCAGCAGCAGGAACTAGAACTGGCACTCCACTATGGGATGCCTGCATTGTAGCAGGCAGCTCAACCCATTGCACCACAAGGCCAGTTCCTAGGTCACTCCTTTGAAAGTGCTGTGTGGTGTTTCATGGCGTGAATTGGTTGCTTTGTATCTACTGTCCTATTGATGGGTATTATGCTAAGCTTCCTTGAAGTTTTCCCCTTACAGACTATGGTGTGTATCACTGTGTACACATGTGTGAGTTTCTCCAGAGAACTATGAAAAGAAACCCCCTCTCCATAGAAGAATGACACATGTTCTTCTGAATGTAACAGTAAGCCCAGAAGTAGACATTATAAGACTGTCACATCACGTGACGGATGCCAAAGGGATTCAAGTATATTCCGCTTGTCTTCTCTGCCATCTCTCGTGGACATACATTTATCCATGCTTTCTCAGGGTCACAAAAATGTTAGAGCAGCTCCAAGCATCACATCCATGTTCCCATTGGTCAGAAAGGGAAGGACCACGAGGCTGATAAAGTAATCTTGTCATGTTGTTCCTGTAAACAGATTTTCTTAGAAACTCCACTCAGTGATTTTTCATTTACATCCTACTGGCTAGACCAGTGTTACCTGGTTCACCCTTCAGCCAGTTACAGAAAAATTTCTAGAAGGCAGGGGCCTCGGAGGGAGGGGGCTTGGTTTGCTGACCAGTAGGCTCTGCCATGGTCTCCGGGGAGTCATGGCAAGGCCCTAGGATGTGTACATCTCCCATGCTCCTAGATATTGCCAGAGAGATCTCCAAGGTGGGTGGTCCTGTTCGAGTCTTGCCAACAAAGCAAGAAAACGTCTGCTTCCTCATGTCAAAATCAAATAATTATTACAAAGCTCTGATTTGCATGACACCACATCAGGTCATTTGTGAAAAGACAAAAGAAAACCACAAAACCAATACATCCAGAGAGGCAAGTGCACAGAGCTTAAAAGGCACAGCTTAAAAGCTGGAGTCCGCGCCTTGCCGCCTGCTGACTGGGTGATCCTGTATGAGCTTTTCTGAGCCTTATTTTTTCATCTGTAAAACAGGGATTAGAGTAGAATCTACCAGGAGGGATGGCTACAGCAGTTAAGATGCCACACTGGATGCCCACATTCTATATAGAAGTGCGTGAACTCACGTCCTGACTGCTTCTGATTCCAGCTTCCTGCTAATGCACACCCTGGAAGGCAGCAGGTGATGGCTCAGGCACTTGGGTCCCTGTGAGTCACATGGGAAATGTGGATTGAATTACAGGCTGGATTCTACCCTCCCCTAGTCCTGGCTGCTGTGAGAATTTAAAGTGAACCAGCAGATGGAAGACCTCTGTCTATTTGTCTCTGTCTCTCTGCTTTTAAATTTTTTTTAAAAAATGAATTTTTAAAAAAGATTTATCTATTCATTTGAAAGTCAGGGTTACAAAGACACAAGAAGAGACACAGAGAGAGAGAGAGATCCTTCCATCTGCTGGTTCACTCGCAAAACAGATGATGCACCAGCCAGGGCTGGGCCAGGCTGAAGTTAGGAGCCAGGAGCTTCATCTGGATCTCCCATGTGGGTGGTAGGGGCCCAAACACTTGGGCCATCTGCTGCTGCTTTTCTCCTGCCATTAGCAGGGACCTGGATTGGATGTGAAGTAGCTGGGACTTGAACCGGTGTCAGTATAGCATGCTGGTGCCATAGGCAATGGCTTTACCCGCTATGCCACCTGCATTCATCTCAAAGATGCTTTGGAGATTAATAAGGACGATGCAGAGAGGATGACTAGTGTGGCACCAACCTCACAGGGAGGCTGCTGATATGACTGCCACTTCCTGGAGATTTCATGTCGAATGCAGGTTGATGATAGCTTTTGAGCACCCAGATTAGGAAGTATATATGGCACTTGTGAGTGCATTTGTGGAAAACCAGGTCAGAATATCTGAAATGGGACCATGCTAACAAATATGGAGTGAATTATAATATCTAAGTGCATGTGCTTACCCTAAGCCATGGGCCTCGCACCATCCCTGTCTCCTAGAATTCTGCAGAAACCAGAACATGTTTTAAAATATTAGCCTTAGGTGGTAAAAACAAATGAAGCAGACTGAATCCAAATGACCATTAACTAGACTTTTATCTCACTCTTCACTTTTTGAGTTAACAGATGAGGGTTTTGTATATTGTTTTTCCTGCTTTGTCTTTAGTCCCTTGGAGAACACAGGTTAGACTATGAACCTCAGACTTCTTTGATTGCCTTACATGATTTAGCAATAACAATTAAGATATGAGTATATGGAGAAGTGAGAAAGCAATAAAAATTATTAATAGATTTTTTTATATGGAAAAGTTCAAGAAGCTGAGGTTATTAAATGCAGAGAAGAGGAAGCTAAAGGGAAATGTCATAATTATCATTAAGCCATTGAGTATCAGGAAACCTTTAAAGTGGAATGATTTCAAGTGACAGATGGGGGTGTGGCGTTTTTGGTGGAAAGAATGTTCTAGAAACTTTCAGGTTTCCATATTATTGTAATGAGTGACCTAAGGAAAGAGACTTGCTGCTACTTTTCTACAATTTTCTATTTTTCCTCCACATCATAAAAACCTTACTCTGTATGAGGCTTTTCATGTGATTCTGAACATTAAAATAAGTGGCAAGCTCTGTAGCTGTCAAAGGTGCCATTCAACATACATTTACTGAGGTGTCTAGTTACAGATCAGGCACAGTGTTAGACCCTGGGGATACAGAACAATACCTTCTGGGTCTAGTGCCTGTCCTGGCCATTGAGAGACACAGATGGGCATGTGGAACTTACAAAATGATGAGGATTACAGGAGCCCAGGAGAGCCTGCTTAATCATGACTGTGTGGTGAACGTGGGGTCCAAGAAGGCTTCTTGGAGGAGGCGATCTGTCTGCTGAAATTTGACGAGTGGGTAGCAATCAGTTGGGTAAAACTGGAGGCTGATGGGAGGTTAGTGAGAAGGGGGAGGAGCAGAGGGGTAGCAGGGTCTCTCATGGAAGAGTGAGCCTGGGGATGGGCTGCAGAGAAGAAATGCAAGGGCTGGTTGTGTGCAATACTTTCATGTTCATTTTTCTTTACTAGTGTTCTTTGTTTTCTCAACAATCTTGATGTCATCATATTATCTTAAAGACTTGAAGAGGCTCCACTTTTGAGAGTGAGCTCTGGTCAAACAAGACCTCTTTCCATTTTCTCCTTAGTTAAATGTTGCCTAAGAAATCAGTGAGCAGAGGATGGGAGGGAGGGGGAAAAGGAGGAGACGTCAGGGCCCTGGAGTCTTTTTTTTTTGAAACAAATTTCACTTATTTACTGGAAGGGCAGAGAGAAATAGAGACAGACAGACAGACAGAGAGAGAGAGAAAGCGTGAGAGAGAGGGAGAGAGAGAGCACTCTCATCTTGTGGTTCACTCCTCAGATACCTTCAATGGCACGGCCTGGGCCAGGCTGAACTAGAAGCTGGAAACTCAGCCCGGGTCTCCCATGTGAGCGGCGGGGACCCAGCTGCATGAACCATCGCCTGCTGCCTCTCAGAGTGCACATTCAGAGGAAGCTGAAATCAGGGGCAGAGCAGGAACCGGCAGCCAGGCACTCCAATGTAGAATCCTAACTGTTACACCAAGTAAATGCCCCACGGAGGCGATCGTAAGGCTGCCTAACTTCAGGAGTTCAGGTCATGCATCCACAGGATTTGTGGCTGTGTAACCACTTGTCATGTAGTGAAGAGAGTGCAGCCTGAAGCCAAAGCAATGCATCTGAGGAAGGCTCTGAGGATGACTGGCAATCCGACTTCTGCTTTATAAGTCAACCTGTCTGGACTTGAGTATCCCCATCTGTAAAGTGGAGGTAATAGCAGCATTGAGAGCACTGACTTAAAGCACACAAGGTTCTTAGAACGGTGCCTGGCACATAGTCAGCCATCAGCAAATGCCTGGTACTGATCATCGTTATCATCATTATGATCAGAACCCAAGGCTGGGATCAATAACAGTGATAGTCCTCACTGCCTGAGCATGTAGCACGTGACAGGCATTGTGCTTCTTGCCTTTGGTTCATTATTTCATGCAGTATTTTCAACTACTTTATAAATGAGTCACCCATTTTTATACATAAAGAACCTGATGCTTGAAGAATTTAACTAACCTTGCCAAGAATGGTGATGCTGTGGGTACCTGAACCCAAGCCTCCCAGCAAATCCAACTTGGTCCCACCTTGATGGAGAAGAGCGAATCTTTTTATTGGTCCTTTTATTTCCTACTCAAAGCACCTTGTTTTCTTTAGAGCTCTGTTGGTAGACTCATTTTTGAGCCCTGTGGTCAGTCTAGAAGTATGATCAGCTCTTTAAAAACGTCCTGGGAGTTATATTAATAAACAAAGCTTAGATAAAGTTTGAGAACTGGCCACCATAACCAAAGAGAAGCCAAAGGAAAATTACCAACCTGTTTTGTGTTCTACTAATCAACAAACGTGTCCAGGGATGTGAAGCCCATGACTGGCTCCCAGGGGCCTGGATGGCGACAGGACTCAGGGAGGCCGTTGATCTCAGTCCTCAGCTCCTCACATTGGGTCGTGAGGATCATCTGGAAGGAGAACTGACCCGGACTCAGCTCGGCATTTATAAGACAACATGGTGTGAGAGCCAAGGGTATCAGCGTGGCGCTTCAGCTTACCGTGAGATGGAGCCTGCTTCCATCCCTTCCAGCTGGGCGAAGAGATCCACAATTCGCCATTTCTCTGAGCCTCAGTTTTCCTTATCTGTGGAATGGGAATACGAACACTTATCCCTTTGCAGGCTTGATTTAGGTGCAGTAAAGGGCATAAAGCATGTAACACTGTACATGGCAAGCCATCACTTTTTAGGGCTAGACATCAGTAAATAATCAAGGCTATGTTTTTGGAAAGAGATTATTACCTCCCAAAAGATTTTTTTTTAAGATTTAGTATTTACTTGCAATACAGGGCAACAGGTGGGAGAGGGGGAGATTGCTAGAGGGGGAGGGAGAGGGAGAGAGAGAGAGAGAGAATGAATCTTCCATTTGCTGGTTCACTCTCCAAATGGTTACAAGAGTCAGGTTTGGGCCAGGCTGAAGCCAGGAGCCAGGAACTTCATCCTGGCCTCCCACATGGGTGGCAAGGACCCAGGCACTTGGGCCATCATCTGCTGCCTTCCCAGGCACATTAGCAGGGAGCTGGATCTGAAGAGGAGCAGGCAGGACTGAAACCAGTGCCAGAGTTGCAAGCAGTGACTTCATTCACTCTACCACAATGCCAGTCCCCAAAAGATTTTTATAAAGCCAACTTGGGGGCAAGTGCACAGTATCGAGAGAGAGAGAGAGAGAGAGAAAGAGAGAAAGAGAGAAAGAGAGAAAGAGAGAGAGAGAGAGAGACATCCAGCACATTCAGAGAGGACAGAGACTTTGTTCAGAGGCTGGTGGGGAAAGCAGGGGTCTGAGTGTGGGATGCAGCTTCTAGAAGCATTCTCCATATACTGTGCTATTTTTATCCTGTCTCAGGCTTTAAGAGAGCCTGAGCATTTGGGAGAAGAATGTTAGAATTTGGAAGTGAGAGAAGATGGCTTCTTGGATGGGGAGTTGGGTGGTCCTGTCTCCTTCCAGACATGGATTAACAATGACTTAATTCTAGAAATATTGTCAGCAAGTAAAATAAATAGACTCATCACGGTGGGCAAATTGTATGTTAATGTAATGAGGCATTGTTTCCAGTGTGACCCTTAAATATATGCTTAATCCATCTAGATGGATGAGTCATCCTGTTCTTAATGAATCTTTTCGGACATTTATAGAGAAAAGGCAAAGTCTTGACAAGACCTTATAAATGTGCTCAAGGTTGGTACGGATTCTTATTTATGTGCCTAGCACGAGCAGCCGTTACCCCTAAATGATGGCTTGTTTTGAATGTCCTCAGGCCTTCAGAATGTTTTATTTCCACCCTTGGGGAGGCAATCAAGGGTGAGTTGAAAGAAAACACAGGATGGCTCTTTGCCCTGGCACAGGCTGGCTAACCTTTCTGTCCTGTGCATGTTCGGTCAGCTTTTCTAGCATTGTAAGTAAGCAGGCGTGGAGAGAAAGGGGTGCACTGTCTTCAGGAGGCCTTCGTCGGGACACGGGGCCCCGTTCAGAGACTGGTCTTCGTCGGGTGTCCCTGCACTCAATCTCCTTTGCCACGGAAATCATGAGGAGCTCCAAGTATTTCCGAGAAGCCTAAAGCCTGGTCCCCACGACAAACACTGGGCAGGGTCCAGCAGCATTTGTTGTCATGGGCTTTTGTTGTGTCGGACATTGCCGGGCAGGAACCATCTGCTGTTAGACCTGGGGTTTGGTCCTGGTGTTATTTGCTGTAGGGATTGACTTAAATTGGAGTCCATTCCAGGACTCTATGCTGGGCATGTGTGTGTTGTGGACAGCGGAATTATCACACTCTTCTCATGCACTTCTTGTCCACAAGACCTCTGGCTGACTCAGGATCAATTCTTTTGCTGTTTTTATGCTTCAGCCTTTAACGTTTAGCATTCGTTTGTATGGGGTCACCACTCTGAAGCAAGACACTGAGCGAGGTGTCGAGAATATGACGGAGTTAAGTTCCAGGAGCTTACAGAACCCGTGAGGGGCAATCCTGAAAGATGCCGAGTTGGAAGGTCTGCCATGAGAAGGAGTCTCTGTCCACAGAACTGTCAAGAAGGAAGCAGAAGTCTGTGCTGCTCTTGCTGTCCGGTCTTAAACCCTGGACAATATGGCCGTGGTGTGGGGGAAGAGCTTGCCCATTTCCCTCCCTTGCCCTCGTCACATGGGTGCTGTGTCACTCACAGCATCAGAAGAGCTAGCATAGCACAGATAGTGCAGGAGAGACCACATTCACCTAACTTCTGCTAAGTAACTGTTATACCTGTTTGATTTTCTTTTGAGTTGCTAATCTCTCCCGGTGCCTGGTTTAGACTTATCATAGGTATGTATGCACAGGTAAAAGCATGGTGCATGCACAGTTTGGTATTTTCTGAAGTTTCAAGCATCCACTGGGGGTCATGGGCCATATTCATTGCAGACAAAGGGAAACGAATGGGCTATGTTGTCACCATGTTATTATGAGGGGCTTACTGAATGCTGTTGGCATGTTTGCCACTTAAGATTGGGCTTGCTTCACACCATTAAACTGACAACAATGGCTTATACAAGAGAGGCGTTTATTTCTCATGTCAAAAGCTGGACATAGACGGTGTTGAGTTGTTATAAAGGTTCTATTCCATACAGACCTCAGGGACCCATAGCCTCCATTCCTAAGGTGACCTAACTGTCTGAGGTGGCTGCCTTACCTTGAGCCGTGTCTTTAGAACTCCAGCTATCAGGAAAAAAGAGAAGAAAATGGCACAAAACAAGCATGGCAGCATCCAGGAAGATTCCTAGAGCTGTCACATGCTGCTTCCACTTACAGATTTTTGGCCAAAATTTAGAGATCTGGCCCCAGTCACGCGGCCCCAACTTGTCGCTCCCCCTCTTCGTGGAGGAACGACACAGGACCCTGCGCTGTTCTTTCGTCTGCTCGGCCCTCCCCGGGTTTGCTGCTGGTTCTTCCCGGGTTGGCTACTATCCCTTCCACCTCCGTGGAAGGGCAGTTCCCCTGGCCACATTCCCCACTTCCGCAGGGGAGCGGCACACCGCAGGCCGGCTTTCTCGGGGGCTGCACGGGTGTTCCTTCAGCTAGATGTTCCCCCTTAGATGTTCCCCATAGATGTTCCTGGTGCATGCCGTCTCTCTCCTCCTTTATAGTCCTCCTCTGCCAATCCCAACTCGGCTGCCCACACGCCGAGTACGCTGCTCTCCTCCAATCAGGAGCAAGTCCTACAGTTTATTGGCTGAACTGGAGGCAGCTGTGTAGAAGCTGTTTACTTCTCTCCCAGCGCCATATTGTGGGGGAGCAGATGCATAGAATAAGTCTTAATTCCAGTAACTCAGTCCAGTCCGGGCTGCTCCCCACACCAACTCTGATAAATGCATTTTCTATTACAGGTGATGTATTTTCTGGTTCTCTTTCAGCTAAAAATCAGGTATTTCTTACTGTAGAAAAGCAGAAAAACAAGTATAGGATACTTCAAAAGTTCATGGAAAAAAGGATCAAAAGGCAAATTTTTTTGGTACAAAAAACTTTTGAAATCCATGCTTATGAGGAGTCTTCAAGTACATGGAAAACGTGTATTACAAAAACACTACGCGTGGCTTTCGAAAATATTGTGCACCAAAATAAGCTTCTCCTTTTAATTCCATTTCCATGAACTGCTGAAGTAAAAAAGTCTGGGACAAGGAATAGTTAGTAGGGAACAAGGAACACAGCAAGTTTCAGGGAATGCGAGTTGACATTTAGTCTAAATATACAATGGCCTCTCCCATTACATTTAATCAAGCCTGAATATTTCGCACCATCATCTCATTAAGGCATCTTGTAATTCTTTCCACTTTTCTTTCCAAAGAAAAAAGGTGTCTGATTGAGCAAGAATGCACTTCTGCATTCAAAGCTGAAATACAAAGATAAACCTCACCCACTTGAAACAGGATAAAAGAAAATCCCCTGGATAGAGGGAAACATGCAAACCATTCTATTAACATATGCATCTATTCCTGAGCTGGGTCTTTGTGCCACAGAGGAATTGGAGGTAATCCAGGCCTTACCATCAAGCGTTCCTGACTCAGCAACTACCTCCCCTCCCTACTCTGAAAAGAACGGCCAAGGGCACAAAGACTGGTCTCACACAGAACCTGTTCCTCAGTGGCAAAACTCGGGTCTGAAATGGAGGTATTGAAAATATGTCAATGCAGTGATTAGGAGAGGCTGTGGAGCAGTTAGGCCTGAGCTGAGAAGCAATCTTTCCACCTAAAAGTGGCTACTTTGGGGCCTAGCATCTCTGACCTCAGGCTATACGCTGGGTAAGCCAAGGGAAGGACCCTGTCATTTGAGAGTTTATTTCAAAACTGAGCAAGACGCTGTAAGTGACCATGCTAGAATGGAGCTTGGTTCAGCCGAAGTACTCAAAAAAATGTGAATATTTATTATGAATTCAGTACAGATTACAAAGAAAACAGAAAGTTATATATTTTTAAGGGACTTCTAAAGTTTTTTTGTTTGTTTTTGACAGGCAGAGTTAGACAGTGAGAGAGAGAGACAGAGAGAAAGGTCTTCCTTCCGTTGGTTCACCCCAAAAATGGCTATGACAGCCAGCGTACTGCACCTATCCAAAGCCAGGAGCCAGGTGCTTCCTCCTGATCTCCCATGCGGGTGCAGGGCCCAAGGACTTGGGTCATCCTCCACTGCACTCCCGGGCCACAGCAGAGAGCTGGACTGGAAGAGGAGCAACCGGATAGAATCCAGCGCCCCAACCGGGACTAGAACCCAGGGTACTGGCGCCGCAGGCGGAGGATTAGCCTAGTGAGCTGCGGCACCGGCCTAAAGCATATTTTTTAAAATTAAGCATCTTTGCCAGTTTGAATACCAGCTATTCTGCTTCCAATCCAGCTCCTTGCTTATGCACCCAGGAAAAAGAGCAGAAAATGACCCAAGTAGTTGAACCCCTGCCATCTATTTGGGAGCCCTGGATGGAGTTCCTGGCTCCTGGCTTTGGCCTGGTCCAGAGCTGGCCATGGTAGCCATCTGGAGAGTGAACTAATGGATGTAAGATCTCTTTCTCTCTGTTTCTCACTCTCTCTGTAACTCTGGCTTTCAAGTAAATACAATAAACCTTTTTAAAAAAG